TTGGAAGAGAACCAAGGTGTTTTAACAGGCCGGCCGGCTCGAGTACTGCGGTACGTCTGGGACTCCTCCTTTGCAGTAAGTTGGGAGGGAAAAAAGGTACTTTGGGGCCCGCTGCTGGATGGGTACAAGGACCAAGTACCTACGTAAAGGTGCAGCTTTGGCCCTTTTTCTGAGGATGTGTGTGTGTGGGCGGGAGGTGCGAATGTCTGGCTGCGGTAGGTGTGTATTTCGTGCCTGCCTAGGTATTCCCTGACGATTATTACCTTCCTGTCTACTGCATAGTATGTGTGGGAGTGAAGGAGCAGGAGAGAGGGTGGGTGGGGCGGATGAACGAGGGAGGCACGGGAAGGAAAGAGAGAGATAGAGAGACAGAGAGACAGAGCGAGAGGAGAAGGGGGAACGGGAAGGGTGAGGTGGAGAGGGAGGACGGAGGGGAGGGGAGGGGTGTGTGAGAGAGCAGGTGCGAATGAGCAGGTGGTCCTGGTGCGAATACTTGGAAAGGTACGAAATACTTGCTGCTGGTGCTGGTGCTGGTGCTGGTGCTGGTTTTGGTGCCGACCAAAGTGCAAGTGCAAAGTCCCCCCCAGGTGGATCCCAAGAAACGGCACGGTACTTTCTATTGCCGCCGCTCTCGCATATACAGCCAAAGTATCTTGTTGTGATATCGACAGGGAAGAGCCCAGGCTAGGCACAGGGAAGGGGAGAGACTGGGGGAAGCGTGAATGACCGAGAGGTAGTTCCGCACCTAATACACAGCATAAAGATACATGGAATCGACGTACCTCTTCTCCAAGACCGCCTGTCCTAGTATGACTTTGTACGTAGTAAGGTAGATAGCTTCCTGCCTGCTGAAGTTACTATTGCTGTTGGGCTGATGCGCCTTTTGTTACTTTTGATGCTGGCTGATGGATACAATCAGGAAATCCAGCAGACGACTACTGTACAAACACCTCAGGTCAGCAATTACCACTCCATACGAAGCACAAAGTCACGAAACTGAGGCTGCCCTATGCGTCTGTTCTGTAGCCCGCGCAGTGGGTGGTATTACTTGCCTGTATGGAATCCGCATACGTTACGGATACCGAGGAACGGACTGGACTGGATGGAGACGCTGGACTCACTTTACTTGCAGTGAGCCGACCCTCTTTCTTCCTTGCAGATGTGCCCTGCAAGTGCAGCTGCGCGAAGCAGGCTGAGTGAGCTAGGTTCCTTGCCGACCAGCAGTAGCACCACAATGCTGTCTCTCTTCTGTCTCTGCTTCGTCTGCCTTTCGCTGTGATGGATGCCTTGGTACGGGGTACCTAATAATGAAGCCCGCAGCGAGGGAAGAAGCGAGGGATGAGGATGACTGCGTCGACGCAGCAGGTATACAATCCAATTGTCGACACCGCTCGCCGCTCGCCTGCCTGCCTGCTTGCTTGTTCTGTCGACTGCCTCTTCTCTGACGATTGTCTGATTGTCTTGTCTGCCTTGTCCAAGCACGTTTAACAAGTACGGTACGGTCTCCTGCTGCTCGCCGTGCCTTTCGTCGTGTCTCCTGTCTTGTCTCCCGGTCGTCTGCGCGCGCCACCCCCAGCAAGCCGAATGCCTGTCGACAGCGCCGCCCGCCGAGAAAGAGCGAGCGCTGAGCAGTACCTTTTTGCTCAAGTGGATCGTCAGAAAGTGTGAAAATGAGCGAACTGGCCTTCGATTGGATCCGTCTGGTGGTGCTTGTGGTGCGCACGAAGTAGTGGTGGTGCGCAGCAGCAGCAGCTCCTGACGAGCTTTGGTCTCAGTTTGGCCTGGCCCACCCGCGAGACCTTTGACACCCTTTCTCTTCCCCGAATAATACAGGGCGACGGGGCAAGCTAGGTACCGTACAGATACAGAGTTCCAGTGGCAGTGGTGGTGGTAATCCGTAACCGTAGGCTGGCTGGCTGGTAGCAATGCCAATCCGAAATATCAAATGTCCGGTTTTGTGCAGCAGCTCCGCGCGCGTTTTCCTTGTTCTCGAATAATGCTTGGGCTTAGCGCAACTCGGTACCAATGTGCCTTTGCTCTATCCTCAACTTGAGTCTTTTCTGTCTCTGCCTCTGTTTCTTTGTGTGTCCGAGAATATGGTACGTTTCCACGTAAGGTATCACCCGTAAGATACGGCCCGCAAGAGGAAGCAGTAGCTTGTACAGGACAAGGTTGGGCAGGAGGCGTCAAGACTTCAAACGAACAAAGCCAACGGATCGAGGTTCTGAAGAGAGAGGGGAAGGGGATTGGGAGGCAATGGGGCAATGTCATTCGACGGCGCCGACCAAGTTCGATCAAAGGAACGGCCTGATGGACGGGGTGGACTGGGCCGGTCGAGGAAACCAACACCAAACAATACCGATGCTGATGCTGATGCTAGTGCTAATTGCTGCGGCAGCTCAGGAGTGAAGCATGCCAATTACAACCAGCGCCCGTCTTTGTTCGTTTCGTAGAAGCCGGTTCTGGGGCCGTTCCGTTGAAGGAACTCTAGAAGCCCGAGATGGAGCCTCGGTAACGTTCTCTTTCAGGGCTTACGGATTACCCAGAGCGAACGGAGTACAAAGCCAATTCGCTGGATGTCAGAGTCAGACTTGGCCCAGGCTGAGGCAGTGGCAGACTGGCAGCAGGGTGGTAGTCGCGCTCGGGACGGATGATTGGTGCGTATGGAATCGCCTGTTGAACAAGGTAGTTGGTTACTGTGTTGTTCCCACTGGACCAGTGGACGTCACGGAATTGAGTTGTGCTGTGCCGTTGTTGGTATGAGGTGGGAGGTTGAGGAGTGAGGACTGTGCCAATGCGTGCCGAGCGGGTGTCAGGTAGTACGATGAAGACCCGTATGAAGTACACCCAAGCAGGGAGAGTTACGTGAGTGGTGTATGGTGTGTGTGGACTGCGGGCGAGTGGACGGACGGTGGCTCTCGGGACCAGGTCCAATTCAGTCTCTTTCTTGGCGTAGAAAGAGATAATCCTGGGATATGAAAAGCAAGACTGGAGCCGCTTCTTCCTCAGATTCTACACCAAGCTTCTGCGTGTAATGGGTCGTGTTTGTGCTAGGCAAGGCGAGGCATGGATAGGTGATGGAGAGCCAGTGATACCACGCAGAGGCGTGTGTGCGTGGTGTTGGGAGCAGGGATTAACGGGAAGGATAGAACGCCCCGCTGGGATTGGCTCACGACGCGGTACGGATTCAGATGGTTTTTGCAGGGTTTCCTGGTTCGTGTGTTCAGTGTGGTGTGGCGTTCGAATTTGCTTTCACGGCGTAACCCGTGGGCTTGGGACCAAGGTACCACGGTATCCGTACACTTTGCAGCGTCGCCGGTGGATAACACGCAGCAATGTTGGGAATACTTCGTGGGACCGCCCCAGCACTGGTTTTTGGCGATATGAAGCGTTGGAAAATGACGACGATATGCCGTCTATGTGGTCCACTTCTCGAAGCCCGGGTGTACGCAGTATGTATGAAGTACTGTGCAATAGTACCAGGCGTGGATCACTTCGTGGGTTTGGTTTAGGTCAACTATTCGGAATCGACAAAGTGGCTTGTGTGTCTCGCTCGTGCATCCGGGATCGTGTCAGGCGTGTCGTGCAACGGGATGCGCAAGGTACGGAGTACGGATGCAGTATTCGTAATGTGCAATAATGAAATGGGTGACATAAGCTTTCGAGGATAATTCGCATGGCATGTCTGGGTCCGATGCCCAGGACGGCGATTGATATAATGTCCGTCATTCCACATAGCCCTTCAACGTGGCCTCCTTTCCCAGGGCCCGGGTCGTGGTCGAGCCGGCCATGCTGTTGTTATCTTCGTGGATCGTGAGACTGTTTGTTGTTTATTATTTGTTATCGACATCTCGGACATTGTGAGAAAAGAAAGCCACATTAGATCCAGGCGGTGTGTGTATGTTTGTTATGCACGTCTGTCAAATCCTCGTGCGTTGTGCATCGTGCGCATAAATTTCAAGCGCGGGCCTTCGTCGGGACGGGCCTCCATCAGAGAGAAATTGATGGGAATTGATTGAAGACATAACTTGGTATCCGTTACGTGAGGTGAGGTGGTCTGCCGTAAGAAACGCGAGATGGACAACGGAGAAGGCAGACCCAATCAAGGCTGCAGTTGTCGTCAAATGTCAACAGCACCCGCACCGGCCGTCATCCACTCAGCGGTCGAGCTTCTAGAAGGAAACACCCAACCCCCCAGCCACACTTTTGCACCTTCCCACAGTTCCCAGTGGTTGGTGGTTTCGGGACGGAGGACGGGCCACGGCGGCCGCGGCCGGGCTGGGAAAGAAGGGATGACGATGTCACGATGTATTTTTCTTTGGTTGTTGCACTTTTTTTCTTTCCTTTTTTTTTTTTTTTTTTTTTTTTTTTTTTTTTTTTTTTTTTTTTTTTTTTTATATTTTTTCCCTCACCAAACCCGGGTTTCTATTTTTTTTGTTAGGTTTATGTGTCCCCGATTGTTTTTTTTTTTTTTTTTTTTTTTTTTTTTTTTTTTTTTTTTTTTTGATTTAATGGATTACGCTGACATATCGTCGCCAACCAAACCAGCGATTGTGCAATCATATTGCGTAGGATTGAGCTGCCTCGACTGCTTCGGACGCACAATACTCTTGTCTCCATTCACTCAGGCAACCCAGCATTTTTCCTCAGATCACTTACCAGAAACGCAGATGAAGAGACGATCAATGCCAACTCACGGCCGAATCTAATCATCTATACCTGTACCCCGTAACGGAATACTTCTACTTCCCACCGGGCTCGTGATGACTACTGTGTAAATTTCACCTGCCTTGTCCCGGTCTTGGGCTTGGCTCTCAAGCTTCAAGTAAAACTTACCGCAACCTCCGACTGTCCACCACCACAAGTCATTGAGGTGCATGCATGCTCTTACTACAAAAACGCGAAAACCACACGTCCGTCACGACACTCGGACGTATCGAGATTCGAAAACGGCCCATCGTAAATGGAGTAGGGGTTCGATTAAATGATGCACGGGATTTCTTGTCTGGTGTGTGTGTGCTGTGTGTGATTCAAGACTACCTAAACCTGGGAAAAGCCAGTGCAAGTGCCAGTGCTGCAGTCTTTCTCACAGTTCAATTACCCATTCTCGGCACGTGCGCCCGGCCTACGCACCCCCAGGAAACTTGATACTTCCGGCCTTTGCAGGAACGGACGCTAAGGGGGCAAAGGGGGGAAGGATTGCTGAGACTTTGCAACTGTGCAAGAGACCTTTTTTCCAAGCTTCCATCCTGCTTCCCCTGCTTCATGTCAACGATTGGAAACCGAAAAAAGGCTAGCAGGAGACTTGTCCGGTGTCATCCAACTACCCTTTGATCGATCCATCGTACGGTCTGATCCTCGTCGCGGTATCCATTTTCGGCGAGCGCGTCTTCGCAATCCAATCTCACCACGCTCACTTTCAGCCTTCCAGACTTCAGGGCGTGGAAAGCTGAAGCTTCCCGCAGCGCGCGTCCGACAGAAACCCAACCAAACGCCTAGAGCCGCCAATTCAATACTTTTTCAATCGCGGTGGTGTGGAGCAAAGCGTTGGCTTACCTCATTAATTGGATATGCTTTGGGTTATCCGGATGCAATGGGCGTTTTTATGTTCCTCCCTAATGGCCCCAAGAGGCGCAACCACTTTACCAAGTTGCATGCACAACGATGGAGACGGTTCAAGGCGTACCGGGGGGTGAGAACACAATTGGTCGCCTTGAAGGTTGCCAATTGGTTCTTCGTTGGAGATTGGCTCTGCAGGTCCAGATCCAGCTACAAGAATTGAGGGCTTCTTGTGACTTGTCATACTTGTCCAAGTTGTCCTGGAACTCTCTGGTCCTCTTCCTTTACGGATGCAGTTGAATGCACCGTTTGCCTGTACGAAAAAGAAGCAAGAAACCAGATGCATCGTGCATATTCTCTCATTACGCGCCTCTCCTTGCCAGTTAAGAGCATGGAACCTCCCGGCCGTTAGGTACATAAGTTGTAGGCATGTCCATCACTCCATCCTATTTGCGAGGCTATCCCCTGTCCATGGACCTGTGAAATCCACACATCCTAATCCTAGGGCTGGGCACGCTTACGTCGGAGTGGAATAGTTCCTGGTTCTTCCAGCTGCTACAGCACGGCGCAGTTATGCCGTGAAAATCCACCCGGCGCTAGATACGTTTTCGGGTACCTTCTCCACCTGGTCCTTCAATGTGAGTATGTGTCCCTTTCCTGCCGAATAGAAAGGTGGAAAATGTTCGAGATGAATATTGGTTGTTCATCAATGCCTCGAGGCCTGGAAGAGTCCCTCAAAGATCTATGCGTTCAGAATCAACGGGTATATCAGAGTAATATCATATTTCCCACATGGAGGGGGTTTTGCGTAGGGAGAGACACGACTCGTCGCGGAGGGAACGGACAGGAAACGCCCGACTTTGCTTTTTTCTGCTTCTGGTTTCTTTTCTCTTCTCGAGTATCGAAAAGTCTCCACGTCGGAGGATCCTCACGCTTGCAAGCTCGCCGGTGCCTTCCACCAAACTCGGCACCACCACACTTTCGTTACCATTGTCCATCGTGATCGCTTTCCTACAGCGTGAGGTAGTTTCCATACCTTACGGCACTCACTTCCTTAGGCTCTTCCCAAAGCCCAGTTCAATATGCTATGTACCACTCTCACCTAATCTCCAAGTCTCAGAAGACGCCCTGCCCCACGCTTCCACTAAACTAAAAAAGACACGCTTTCCTGGCCCTTACAGGGGAAGGTCTTTCGATGTCCAATCAGCTCCCTCCAATTATGCCCCACCACGAACCAAGGAAGGGGAAGAAGGAAAGGGCTTCCCGAGCCCTCGGTGGCTCTCGCACTTGCCCACCAGTCACAGCGCGCCTTCCCTACCCCCAGTCGAGCAAGTGCCCCCCACCCCGAATCCAAATCTCCAAAAAAGACTTTTACCCCACACCGCGACAGTCCAATCAGACATCCCAGAAACGCGGGAGCACGCGAACGTCAAAAAGACGAAAAAGAACGGGCAGACGGGATTTTCTATTAAATATCAATGCGTCGTGTTTCCGTCCAGTCAACGGCCTTCTATCTTTTCTTAGCATCGCCCGTTGAACGCGCGTGGGCACTGACTCTTCTTTTTCTTTTTTCTTTTTTATTATGTGCCTTCCTTTAATGATACAAACTCACTGACTTTCTGCGGGTTGCAAATCTCGCCTCAGAAAAGGGGACCTGACGATCCTAGGCGGTCAGACTTATTGGTGCAAGCGAGATGGAACAATAATTCGTCATGGATGGAAATGGAGAATGGGAACCGAATGTGCCCATATGGAATAATTCCAAAGTTACCGTTGCAGCGAGTGATTCTCCAATTCCATGACTGGGAAAGTCTCAATTCGTAGATAGTACCCGCCATAACGCTACTGAAACCATTCTGGCCAGACAACTGCCCAAAAAAAAAGTCATGATTCCTTAATTGCCCGGTTGGCTCCGCAAAGTCAATGACGAAGATACCATTGGGATGATTGAGTTCCTAACCTCCTAACCACCTCCTAAGCCCCGTCCCAGAACTCAATGGTCTGAACACAATCTCAAAACCGAGGAAAAGAACCCGCTCTCGTGCATCGCGTTTTAGCATTCCAGGTTTTCTTCTTCATCAACCTAGACTTTCCCCGCGCGTCAAGATCGTGTGTCGCCGATGGTGACGGGCGATGGCGTTTCGATCCCGTTTCTCGCGAAGAGGCTCCATATAGACCAGCGGATATCACAAAAAAAAAAAAAACCACTCAGCCTCTTACTCAGTTGCCTGCATACAGCCCGCGCTCAACCGTCAACGTCACCATCGTGTTCTCTTTTACCCCATCTCACCCCCTCTCACACTGACAGACACCCGTACTCCGTACACCATTCAGCCTTGGCACAAACCTATTCCCCTTCTTCACAGCCGCATGGCGTAGTCGCAACTTAGCCTTGGTTCCCCCTTATTAAACAACCCCCCCGCGCCGGTCCAGCCGACATGGAAACGCTTCTCCCGTTTCGGCGGGTTTGGGCTCTTACTCCTCCGTACGCGTGCTACGGTACATGTCCCCCCCCCCCCCACTCACACAATGGCCAGTGCCAGAGTCTCGACAGGTTTGGCAACTAAAAGTCGTAAGACTGTGGCATCTCGGAAGCCAGGAACAGCCCTTCCTACGCGGATAGCCTATGGTTAGGTACCTCCAGGAACCACACAGGCACGACACCAGCCAGCCAGCCAGCCAGCCATCCGCAAGCAATCGAGGCTAGGAGCGGACTTCGTTCGTCAACAGGCTCCCAGACCAGATCCGCACAAGCGCTCAGCGCCAAACGAACCCCAAAAAATCGCCAATCCTTTTGAGCTTTGGCGTCACCTATGCAGCAGAGTAGCGATTGTCTCCGTTTCAAAACCTTCAACCCGCAAGAAAGAAAGACGCCACAAAATCTTTCTTCTCATTGTTCCTCTTTTAGACCATCCATTGATCTTCCCTTTCCCCCTCCCGCGCTTCCCCTGAAATGCCACGAGATCGTCGCTGTTCCTTTCTTTGAGCAACCGTCTCTGTCGGTCCACCGTTCCCCACGCGAGTCGGTCTCTGAGATGGACGTTTCTTCGACTGATTAAGAGGCACCGGACAAGCAGCAGTGACCACCAGGAAGCAGTGACCAGTGCCTCGACCTGCGAAAGTTCCCTTAGTCGTCAACTAAAAAGCCATAGCTTCTCTCTCTCCCGCTGCTATTCTCCCCGTTTTCCCGTCCAAGACGTGGTGGTTGCGGGTCCCTAGATAGCGTTCAACAAACCTCTCTCTTACTTTGCACTTTCTCCCCGTGGATAGTTGAGAATAGCGGAGACCGGTTCTAAACATGCAGACACTATAAGCCGGCCACCCAGCGGACCGTGAGATAAATGCAGTTCCCTTTCGTAAAAAAGACAAGCTATAACTTCCGGCATGCCGCGCGAGACAACCACACGGCTCATAGTACAGAAAACGAAGTGCCAAGTGCCAAGGCGATTCAAAGGAACAGAGACTCGAACCAATGGTACTGATGAAAAGAAACTTTTTGCAAAACCCGATCGCAGCCCGTTCCAGCGGCCAGCATTGGACCATGGAACACACGTACAATAAAGTTGCTTTTTCCATCCTTCTCAGATAACCACTCCATCAGAACTACCGCCCCACGCGGGATCGTCACCGCTCCAGGTCTCAGTCCTCCATCGGCATCAGATTTCCCACTCGTGGAATAGAGAGCAGTCGGTAAAAGAAAAGAGAGAAAACCGGAGCCACTTAGTTTCCCTGCCACTCGTCGCCCAATGTCTCAGCCGAGCAGAAACAACTATTCGAGACCAGCAGCAGCGAGCGAGCGGCCGGGACAAGCAGCCATTTCCGCGCTTAGCTTGCATCCCAAATGCTCTAGATGGTCAGTCAGTCAGGCATTCGTACAGCCAGAACGTGGTGGATGAACATCGTCGTCATCTGAATATCATACCCGCGTCGCCCATCACACCAAACCACATAACCCGGCCCCTCCACTGACTCAGCACAGCCAATGCATATTCCATCATCCCATCCCTATCCCCATCCGCGTCTCATCCCCGGTCTCCCCCCTTCCCCTACCGAGTCCTCATCTCGGCTCCCCTGAAGCCAGCAGGCGCCCGTCCACCCCCGATTCATGCAGCAAGCGTGTCCGGCGTCTAAATATGCCGGGTTACGGCGGCAGTTCCGACACGCGCCTATGGAGCCATCCAAATTCTACAGGCTGGTGATTTCCTTCCATTCCAGAAACATGGAATCATGATACCTATCCCACCTCCTTCCCTTTCCAATGGTTGATTTGATGTCGGTTGGCAAAGGCACGCGCATTCCTCTCTCATCCTTGATGCTGACCATGGAGGGCCCGGTGGGAGCCCTTCTCACCTGCGCGAAGACGAAAGAATCGGCTGATGATCGAGCAATCTGCCCGGGCCGTGCTATATTCCGTGTCTACTAATAGGGGCGGCGGCTGACGAACGTGCCTGTCTCGCAAAGTTGCAACATCTGAAAAACAACATCCACTTTCGCATCCGTCCGATATGAGCATCGTCAAAGCCGTGACCGCAAAAGACTCCAAGTCCGAGATCACTTTCATGTGGCATTCCCCCTTTGACAGTGTCTCGTGATCTAAGAGATTCCAAAATCTCAAATCTACTCTCAATCCTCCCTTTCCCGACTCTCGTTCAAGTTCTAACGCCAACCGCAAAACCCCCCTGACCACCCCCTGAGCCGCGGTTCCGCTTTACCGGCGCCGTTGGAGACGGAGAGCGCACAGAAAAGGCGCCAAGCGTCATCCGCGACTCAGGGCCCGCTCCTCAATCTACGAAGCACCTCCCAGTGACCAAAAAAATGATCTTCAATGATGCAAGTGGCCGCTGGAATCAAAGACCTATCAAGAACGTAAGCAAGATCGGCTTCAAAGCGTTTTGGCTTCAAACCATACCGAAAATACTTCTAGATCGGTTCCCTCCCTCTCACAGTATTCACACCCGCTTTGTCCCTTTAGAGGCCCCCAAAATGTCAAAGAAAAGCAACAGCCACCTGTAACATCAGACGAACAAAGGTCAGTGCAAGGCCCTTGCTTCTCCCCGTGCCCAATGCCTCCCCGAACTAGGTCTGAATCACCTAAGCCTAGCCCCATCCAAGAAAAAGTTGATGATGCTTCTCATGGCGTGGTCTCTGTTGGCGAATGACCACTTTACGCGGTCCTCGAAATACCCCTCGACGCGATGTCTATCGGCCGCGTTCCCCTCCCCCTCCCTCCCTTTCGCCATTGTCACCAAATCTAGATGTCGATCCGCCATCCCCCAGATTCACACTAGGTAGGCTACGCAACCTTCCCGTCGGCAATGACCTCCCCCTTTGGCCAGATTGAGAGACCATCCGCGCCCTGAAGATCCCCCAATTTCTCTGGCAGCCTATTTTCAGAGTTGAAAGGAAGAGAAAGTCATGTGTCCAATCATTTGCCCCCAGGCCGTGCCACACCACCGCGGCCGCAATCCAGTCGTCCTGTTCCCCAGAATCTGGCCGTTCTCGAACCGTTCAAACACGAGCAACCGTTCTGTTCCATGGCCGCCAAATACGGTTTGCGTCGCCTCCAGGTCCATCGCCCAACTGCCAATGGAGCCGTCACATGCACTGCACCCATGAAACCTGCCTTCTATCAACTTGACCGGGCTCTCTGCCAACACAGCAGCAGCAGTGGCATCAGTTAGCGAGCTATTCGGTTGCATCAAGTAGCAATAGGTCCTCCCGATTCGGCCAGGCCCAACCGTGGCCTTGTCAGTTCGCGTAAGGTGGCTGGACGAGTAGAAGCGCGCAGACTCCAAATCCCCAGAGACGATGGCGACAAGGACCCCGGTCCGACAAGGGGGCCTCTGTCCTCGTTTACCCCTCACCCGCAGCACCTCTCCCAACCCTGTTAAAGAGAGGCACACACACTTCTACATCTTCAGCTCAGGAACGTCGCGAACCAGCATCAAGCTCCGTACACCACCTCGAGGAAACCGCAAATCAAGGAAAACATGCAATTATTTCCCCGAACCAGCTCACCACCACCACATGCTAGCATGTCCACTGCAACTGGTGCCACGCACACCGAGGCATACCCGGCCACCTGATAGCCCGATACGCCACAATTGGATCAAACTTTCGTGACCGAATTCTGCAAGAATCCCACCTGCTCGTCTATCGCGAACTCTGGGATATAGCGTCTTGTTGGTCGAGAGATAATGCGCTTCGCTCTGCCGTTCCCACTCCACCACTTCGACTTCCCCAAGCTTCCCCCCTCGCGCCATTGGGGAGCCTGGGAGCTCCTTGTATGGCCTCTTTGGCAATTCGAGTCTATTGGCCTTTGATGATTATTTGATTGTTGCATGCGGCTAAAGCAAGACAGGATGATGTGGTGGATTGCGTGATGTTGGATCCGTCTCTCGTTGATCCCTACAGGATACTCTGTGCAAAACGTCGCGGGGTGTGGCCCGGATTGAACGCGGAGTGAAGACATGTTCGAGGTTAATGGGTCCTCAGATGCAGACGCGCCGATACGCGACATTCAA